CAGTGTCCATTTATCCATATATGCATACAAACACACATATGTAAAAATAATCAGATATTTTTAATAAAGGAAAAATTGAAATCCTCACAAATACAAAAAGATAAATTCTAGAAAGGAATACTATTTAGGACTAAAAATACAAAATTGTGAATCTACAAGAACAAACCAATTAGTGTAAATGTGAACTGAACAGAGACAGGGAGACAAGATCAAGAGTTAAAGATCATCCTACACAGTGAGACCCTGGCCCCAAACCAACCAACAAGAAACAGTGACTAAATCAAAGTGGATAAGCAAGGGGAAAGAGACGAAGCCCAAATGTAGACAGAGACGCTATCCCAAGTTCTGCAGTCTGTGGGGAAAAGGTATTTCCAGCAAAGGAGAGGAATTGGCTGCTTAGAAAAGGTAAAATTTAAGTATGCAGCACCTGTGAAAAACAAGCTACTTATATATGTATAAAGAAATAGAGGAGCCAGTGAGGTGGCGCAGAAGGTGAAGGTGCTTACACCAAGCTGAGCACCTGAGTTCTGATTCTTGAACCCAGAATGGAAGAGGAGAATTGATTTCCCCAAGTTATCCTCTGTAGTAGATACTGCTCTGTTGCTGTGATAAAATGCATGGCCAAGAACAGCTTCTGAAGAGAGAGTTTATTTTGGCTTATGCTTTGTTAACATCTATGTAAAAACCAGGCAGTACTTCTGTAATCCCATTACCAGAAATGCAGTGTGGCAGAGCTGACCCTGAGACTTGCTGGCCAGCCTATCTGGTCAAATCAGTGAGCTCCACATTCAGAGAGAGACACTGCCTCAAAAACTAAGGTGAAGACACCCGACATGCACCTACATACACATTTGTACACACACACACACACACACACACACACACACACACACACATCTGGGTGTTCCCACAATCTGGCTCAATTCTGACACTACAGTTAGCATCAGACCCCACTGGTGTGGGCCCAGCCTGTGTGTGCCAGTCACAGGTTACTGTCACTACTGTCTCACAATGCTATAAAAATCTGGGGTCCTACAGCTCCCATTTTTTTTGTTCAGTTGTTTATTAAAAAGCCCCACAAAGCTTCAGGAAACACTTCCCTTGCCATTAACACTGTCTTGGAAAAGATGCAGGCAGGTGTGTGCTGGAAGACCCTGAGCATGGGGCTCCTGCTCTGTGGGTTGGGGTGCATTACCTTCCTGACAGCAGAGGCGGTCAGTGATTCAGATGCTCCCCAAACCCCACTGTCTGCAGATTCTCCATCCTGTGGGCCTGACTGGCCATCAACTCTATCCCTACTCTGCTCTCCTCTGCAGAGGCTGAGAGCACAAAGCCACAAAAGTCTGTGCTCTTAGATCAAGGCTGCTTCCCTCTGGCAGTGGGTCCTCATGCTGGGATAACTAAGAGCCCCTCACAGAACCAAAACGACACATCACCCTCATCACTCAGGAAACCACAAGAGACTGAGGATCTCTGTGCCAGGACCCAGAGGCAAAGACCAAACATCCTGTGACAGCACAGCTTGTTGGCCATAATGCTCAATAGCCTGGTGGAGAAGCTGAGATTCTGAGCTGTTGCCACCTGGCTTCAAACTTATGACATAAAGTTGGGAAAATTATTTAAGTTTTTTCAACCTTCAGCTTTCCAATTTATTACATGAAAATATTTCATGTGGCTTCCTAGGGCTTCTGTGAGATAAGTGTTAGCCATGGTTGGCCATAATAAAGCTACATCCATCTGTGTAGATGCTGGTCTGTCACAAATTTGTGCAGGTGCCTATGTTTGATAAGAGTTCATCTAATCGTTATAATTCCTCAGTATAATTCTTCAGTCATGCTATGAACTTCCTGCTATCCCTCTATCCCTTCTTCAGGGAAACTAAAGAGCTTAGATTCCAGAATTTGTGTTTAATCAAGAAAGTAGCTTCAAATCATAAAACATGAGGTCTGCACCTGTTAGGTTCTTTAATTAAAGTTCACAGGTTTTCATTGGTCAAATGGAGAAATGTTTTCCAATGTTACTCTGGTGTTTTAAAGAGAAGAGTCCTAACTGCTTAATTTTCTTTAACAATTGTTTTGTTTTCAGGTTCAGATGTGGGAAAAAATCAACAGCCTCTGTGGACAAAGAAGAAAACCCCAAAGTTCTAGTCACTGCATTCTAATAAGGGTTCCTTGGCACTTAGCCAATTGGAAATCAGATGTGTCTGATGAACTGGGAATGATGGAACATGCCTATAATCCCAGCACTCTAGCGGGAGAGCCAGGAGGATCAGGAATTCAAGGTCATCCTTGGCTACATCAGAAGTGCAAGACCAGCCTGGACCCCATGCAGCCCTGTCTCAACAAAACAAACAAACAAAAACAAAAACAAAAAAAAAAACCCTTTGCTGCTGAAAGGGACTGTTAGAAGCAGTGGGCAATAAACTGGACTTGTGGAGAAATGCAGGTTGTCTTCTAAACTCTGGGCCACTCTTCCAGATAATCTTCTTGTTTTTAAGAACAAACATTACTAAACTGTCTGGACAACTAACCAGTCAAAGAAATAAATTTGTAAGATTTTTCTTGAAAATGTGTTAGTCAAGGACTGGCAAAATCCATATGAAGACTAACACGCGTTTCCAAAATGCTACCCAAATAAAACTGATTGCAATATCACAATTATTAGATGATAACAGTGCTTGTGTGTCTGTATGCATTCAGTTTGGGGGGGGTGTAAGGGTAGAGATGATCTAGCACATTCAAAACAAAAGTAGTTTTTTAATTGAACTCATATGGGGCTGTAGCCAAATGATCACTTGGACTGCAGTCCTGAATCTTTGATGTGTAGTTGCCACCCTGTGCTAAAGAGTCTGAGAGTCACATCAATTGGGTATACAGTTCATCCACTGATGACCTGCATGCTCTGCTGAACACTGTGTCTTCATGTTATGTCACCTGGTCATAACACCAGTGCAGACGAGCAGGTCTTTCCAGATCTGAGAACATGGCTGTTAGCAAAGTGATGATGGAGCATGAGGATATGATATCAAAACCTAAGGAGGCTGAATACACTGCCTTTATAAAACATAACATGACTATTATTTAAAGCAAACTAGCATGCATAGGCCCTGGGTTAAATCCCCCAAACAAACAAACAAACAAACAAAAAACCCACAGGAGAAAACAATGGAATGCATTTTCATAAAATAGGAACATACTATGTTCAGATTATTAGCAACAACCCAAAATTTTTAAGGTCTTAAAATAACAACGTCCAATAAGGTAGCCACTAACTAATGTACACATCACTTGATTCGACTGCAATGTCCTGTAAAATACACACTGAAGCACTATCCTCATATGAGAAACAGGGATTAATAATTTTTAATAAGAATGAAATTCATTTCAATACTTTCCATGCCAATTTTATGATGAAATGATAATATTCCAGGTATGTAGGGCTAAATATACCATTACAATTTATTTCATACTTTTTTGAAGACACCAATTTAAGTTATTTATTATTTAAATAATCCAAGATTGGATCATTATGTTCCCATATCGTGGTAGATGGTAGTAACGTCACTTCTTCAAAGCCACTTCTATGTGACCTTTGCTGTTTTGTTCGCACTTCTCATGGGTTTTGTAACGAACTCACAAGAAGGCTTCCCACTTTGCTTCACAAGAATTTCTCTATTCGGACTGTAATCACTGCTTGATTTTGGTAAAGCAGACACAGCTCTTTCCTTTGAAACCCTTGGTTTATATCTGCACCCACAGCCTCTCGAAGGAAGATAATCGATTGTAATTTCTCCCACTGTTGGTTTGACGTTAAACCACTCTGGGTTCAATTTTCTACTTAATTTTCTTTGCAGCATTTGTAAAAGGAAGAGGAATTCTGTCTTGAGTTCATTGCTGAGCGTATTAGGATTGCTTAGTAACTCGGATAACCTAATGTTATCTTTAATCGACTTTGAAACTGTAGACCTGGGAACGAGTGGCAAACGCATTTGGTAACTATAGTCTGTGAAATTAGCGTAGTCATCCTGGGTACTTTTAATTTCTTGATGTGTTAGTAAAGTGTAAACCTCTTGAATCAGTATTTCCGGCACCCCAGCTTTATAGTGAATCGTGCCATGGACCAGTTCTTCAGGTAGTTTAATTTTTTTTCTTGCTAGAAACTTCTCTATCTGTGCCCAGTTACCCAACTTGATTTTTAAGGAGGTTCCATTTTCAAAGGATGATAATCTAAGGTCCCAGGGGTAGTATATACCGACTATCTCGGCAACTAGGTAGCCATTGAAAAATCCCTGGTGACGTTCCTAGGGAAGAAGCTGAGATCCAGCCCCTGGACCCAGCGGCAGGATGGAACGAGACAGGCAGGAGGGCCCCGATACACCAGGCATTTCTTAGGCTTCTTTCGGGAAGGAACTGCTGGTGGTAAAGCTATTCCATACTTTTTAAAGAAAGGTTTCTCATATAGTGGTGCAATCAAACTCAGGGCCTGCCACATTTGAGGCAAGCACTATCCCACTGAGCCACACACACCCCAGAGCTCTAAAAGCTTTTAATTCGAAGCACTGCCAGATAGAACCCAGGATACCCACTTATAACACAATTTCCTATATCCCTGCAGGGGACATAATTATAACTAAAATTGTTTCTTCTTTACTTAAAATTTGAGTTTAACCAGGTACATTTTTAGTTTACTAAATCTGGAAATTTTATTGATATGGTTAATTTTAATTGTGATGGTCAATGTTGTCAACCTTATCGCATCTAGAACCATCTTAGAGAGAAACCTCTAGGCATACCTGTGAGGAAGTTTCTAGACTGGGATAGTTGGAATGGGTAGACTAATCTTAACAGTGGGCAGCATCAGTTCCATGGCCTGGGGTCCAGGACTAAATAAAAAGGAGATTGCCAGCTGAGTACCAACATCTATCACTCCTGGCTTCCTGGTGAGGACAAATGACAAGCAGCTTCATAGGACTGCCACCATGCTTTCCCAGAGTGACTGACTCTACCCCCCAACCATGAACCCAAACAACCCTTCCTTAAGCTGGTTTTCTCCAGTACTTTGTCTCAGCAACATGAAATGTTACTAATACAGGGGCTACCAAAACTATTTTAATTATAATGTACACCTGCTGTGCACACCTGTTGTCCCTGCTACTTGAGAGGATGAGACAAGTGGTCATTTGGGGTCAAAGTTGCAGAAAAGGTCAGGGCAATATATCAGGATCCATTTTGCAAAATAAATATAAATGAAATTATAAGTGTGACTTCCTCATTTGACAATATTACTTTAGAATAACACAGCTACTATATTTATACCTTATCTTTTTTAAATTTTAGGATATACTATTTGCACAAAATAACGGGTTTCATTGTGAGGCTGTGTGTTTGTTTTGAGACAGGGTTTCATTGTGTAGCCCTAGCTGGCCTGGAACAGAGAGCCACCTGCTTCTGTCTTCCTAGTGCTGGGATTAAAGGCCTCGGCCACCAAGCCTGGCAGGTTGTTTTTTTTTTTTTTTCCTTTGATGTTTTTTACCAATAAGCTCCTGATGTTAATGGTAAAAATAGCTAATCTGAGGGTTTAACCCTAGACTAAGATCCTTAATCTGGAAACTAACTTTTTACATTTGCTTAAATCAATCTGATAAAAGACAGAATGATTTCTTAAGAACACAAAGCACAAAACAGAGTCTGAAAACAAATTCATTGTTCCCGGCCTCTTGATCATGGTCTCAAAATCTTTCTTGAAAGGTTCAGGCAGAACCTGTTACCCTGTTACCTGGCAGAATCCACTCAGGCAGTACCCTGGTCAACCCAGGGTTCTATGGGAACTGAGTCTGCAAGCAGGTGCATAGGACCCCTTTAAAAGACAGACCCCTACCCACTTACCTTCTCTCTTTCCAGCAGTCGACCTCTCTCTGCTCTTTCTTACTCTCTGCCTTGCTCTGTTCTTCCATTTCTCTCCCTCTCGCTTTCCTGCCCTATAATAAACTATAGTTAATATATCTCTTGTTCCCATGTCTCATCTTGAGCCTTCTTTTAATTTAAGCAAAAGAATAACAGTTCTTGATGACTTTTCATGACTATTTTAATTTTATTTTATGTGAATGGGCATTTTGCCTGCCTGTGTCTCTGTGCACCACGTGTGTGCCTGGTGCCCAGAAGGCCAGAAAACCCTGGAACTGTAGCTACAGAAGATTGTAAACCCTCATTGTGTGCTGGGACTCAAACTCAGATCCTCTGAAGGAGCAGACTTTTCTGCGGGATACAATCCCTTTCTGAGCCCTAACAAAAAGTCTAGAGGGTAGGCT